CTCTACGAGAAGAACCGTGACCTGGATGACTGAGAATCTTCACAGACATCTTAAAACTGGCAGCAGCTTTGGGTTAGAATGACCTTGCTGCTGCTCCCACTGAGGTCATCATCATCTAAAAGTCAGACTGTTCTCTGAGAGGAGCTTCTCCACTCCACCTTCAAACCACATTTTCATACTTTAACCAACATTAAATGCTGCAATAGATGAATATTCCATTTGCAGTGGCTCTTTTTTGGAAAAAAAAAAAAAGTGACATAGAAAGAAGAGCCAGGAAAGTCTTGTGTGGGGATTGCTCATGTGCGTCGGCATCCTCCACCTCCTCCTCCGATTTCCATTTTTAGCCCTGCGGAGGCCTCATTTCCCCCTCATTGAGAAGAGCTGGGAAATTGAATTAAGGGTCTCGCTGACGTTTCGATTAGCATCCCCAGGCTCACTCAGCCAAGACTGAGAGTATTAATCAGAAGAGAGCAGTTGTGCTGTCTATGTGGAGTGTGTGAGCGGGCGGCCAGGATGTATATGAGTGGATAAGAATCACCGTGAGGAGGCAGGGACTTAAGAGAGTCTTTCAGCGTTAATTCTACTCATTAAATATTACGGCGCTTAGCTGTCAGCGTAATGCGACAAATAGATTCCTCACTGCTGCCGAGTTCAAAGGGAAAGAAGAATCAATTACCGTCCCGGCAGGAACGAGGTGTAGCCGCAAAGTTCACGGCAACAAAACATGACAGCAGAGATGTGTAAGCTTCTGCCTTATTGTGCTGTTAAAGGGATGAGTTATGAGCTCCGGCGATGCAAAGTGAACACAAGAAGGAGTGGAAGCTGAACTGATGTCGTGCAGCTCAGACAATAGAGAGGTTTGGCTGATACTGGCTTTAAAGGCTGATGTTACACAATGTGAAGCTCTGTTTATAATTACATTTTTTTAGCCCTAACTGTGGGTCTTTTACAGTCGTCCTCAAATGTATTCATCCCCTTCCATTAAAGAAAAGGCAAAAAATCACAATAATCACTCAAATAACTAAAAACTGAAAAAAGTAATAATAAATAAAAAATTGCTAAATTATAATTTAGTGAAATAAGACATTGCTTTTGAATTGTGGCTGAAAGGAATAATAAAAAATTTAAAAAAATTAAAAACTGTCCAGGACAAATGAGAGCACTTTGCTGATGAGCAGTAAAATCTAAATCCCTGTCAACAGGTGCAGAAGTCTGACTAAGAGTTACAGAAAACACTTGATTGCAGTGATTGGCTCAAAGGGTTGGTCAATAAAATATGAGTTTACAGGTCCCACCATGCTTGTTTTCTTTTTTCTTTGTTATATTTCTGTTGAACCACAATTCAAAAGCAATGTCATGATTTTCATAAATTTTTTAAAATGTATTATAACTTTTGTCAATTTCAGCTGATTTCAGTGACAGCTGTATTTTTCTGTCTTTAATGGGAGGATATGAATACATTTGAGGATGACTGTGTATGTTGCAGGCTGCAGGGTGGCACAGTTGGTTAACACTGTTGCCTCGCAGCAAGAAGGTTGCCGTTTCGCGTCCCGGTGGGGACACCGGAGTCTTTCTGTGTGGAGTTTGCATGTTCTCTCCGGGTTCTCCGGCTTCCTTCCACAAGGTCCAAAAACATGTTGAGGTTAATTGGTGATTCTAAATTGTCTGTAGGTGTGAATGTGAGTGTGCTTGGTTGTCTGTCTCTCAGTGTGGCCCTGTGATAGACTGGTGACCTGTTCAGGGTGTCCCCTGCCTTCACCCTGAGTCAGCTGGGATAGACTCCAGCCCCCCATGAAACTAGAGAGGATTAAGCGGTGTATAGATAATGGATGTATATGTTGCACTGGTCAGCGTTGGATGTTGTGGTTTTAGGGCTTGCTGAGGTGGGAAAAGCAGTTTAGGATGGCTCCACAGAGCATTTTTTTGTCTCTTGTCATCGTCTCTAAAATATCTGGAGAAAAAAAAGCAAAGTAGTTAGAAAAAGAAGAAGAAGAAGAAGAAAAAAGCCAGAAGACTGTCTCATCCCACTCACAGCTGGTAACAGGATTACAATCACAATGTAATTTGGTAAAACCTCTGATGGAAACACATTTCACAGGCTCACTGTGCAGACAGAGTCCAGTAAAACGACCCCAGCTGTTAGTGCGGCTCAGTCTTCAGATCAAAGATGATTCAGATGTTAGCTTTATGGTGCACTTTTACAATATTATCAACAGATGATAGTAAATCTCAAAGTCCCTCTTTGGTCATTGATAAAGCACAGAAAAAAAACTCATCTCTGTCTATCAAAGTTACATATTTGGAAGTTTTTTTTCCATAAGAATAATCCCCTCCTGTTCCATAACAAATAACATTGGGCAAATCTATAATGTCGCCGCCTCTTTCTCCACTCGCAGCAGATCAAGCACACCAGCTCACCTGCTCAGACATGATAAAACTACTCAATGATTCATCATGGCAAGTTGCAATATTCAGCCGTACATGTTCAAAACAGACACCAGTTCTAAAGAATAATAATGATACAGAAGCTCCTCGAGCTTACAGGATCGGTTCTTTTGTTACATATGAAGCCCTGGAAGTCTGAATCTGTCTGTTGATCTGGTCATCGGTACAATTATTAGGTGGAAATGTTCACTTGCTGTGTTTGGCTGCTTATTTCACTCGTGATATGTCTTCTAGCATTTAAAAGAAACACCATATTGACATGTTAATAGGATAGAAAAAGTAGATTTTTAAAATAGAGGATCCTTAAAGCTCACTTGAAGAGACATTATAAATATTATTAGCAGGGAAACATCTAATCTTTTTGATTCTCTTTCATATAATAAAATCTATACATCTTATACTGTTCTACATATAACTGACGTATGTTAAAGACTACAAACAAGAATATTTATATCTGGCAAAAACAGGATGCATGATGACATCTGCATCAACGTCGGTATCGAAAAGGTTTTAAAATGAAATATTGGCAAGTAAAAACTGTTGGGCTACAAATTTTAAGTTTTGTAGTTTTTGTTGAAAAGCTTTCTTTCTTTTTCCACTAAATGTATTTTACATCTGCACCTGCTGGTGAGCCGTTCCAATAAGAGGAGGCACAATAACCACCGCTAGAAAAACTTGATGTTCTCTGTAATTAGGTAAGAAAAAAAAGGTGCATCGGCAATCAGCTAAAACAAGTTGGAAAATATAATTTCGGACGAAAATGTGTCTAAAGATCAAAATGATTTATCAAGATGGGCAGCTAATAAAAAACATGATATTCATCTTATTTAATTAAACGTAGGGCAAAGTGTGGTGTAGATACCGTTAACTTCAATTTAATTATTTATTCATAGAGTGATTCTACAGTCATTTTGATCTATATACAGTATAGTTGTACTCAGCTCCATCACTACAGCTTTCCTAACTTACAAAAAAAATTATAAAACAACTGCATCTACAGTTATTTGATATGTGTGATTCAGTGACATAAGTTCCCGTTTAAACAATGTCAATACAAAATCCAAAAGGAGGCTGAATAAGGATTTTTTTTCTGTGAGATGTTAGCTTTAACAAATTTATAATATGTAAGGGTTGTGTTTATATGTTGTTGTGCTGTCCAGGTGGCCAAAAAAATCATTGTTGCAGCTTTAATTTAAAGCACACATGTATTATCAGTAAAATGCAGAAGAGGTTTGAATGTAAAGTGATTTGTTATGCAGAAAGACCCCTCTCAGACAGGACAATGTATGTGTTTTAACATCTGATTATTATATATGTATGTCACATTTCTGTGTTGTTTATCCTGCAAAGTAAACAGCAGGATAAAATGGCAACAATCAAGGGAAGTACAAGAAGCTCACAACTGTACTCAAGTACTTGTCTGAATGTACTGCTGCAAGGCTCCTAACCTGCTCCCAATGGTTGCACATTACCAGGATGTGCCAGTGTCGGCTGGCCAGGTGGAGAACTATGTGCTGCTGCTGGTGCTGCTGAGCGTTTTTGCCGGCGGGACGCTGGTCCTGCTCTCCCTGCTGCTGCTCTTCTGTCACCGCTGCTGCATGGGCGGACGGCGCTACTCCAGGTGGGTGCTACCTGCAGGGTGACACACTGTGTGGGACCGCTCAGGGATTGTAGGAGCCAGTGCGACTGTGACAGCTCCTGTAAAACCCGTGTGGAGTACGAAATGGAAAGCTGTGATGTGACGAAGCATTTTTTTTGCCTCTGTGAAAGAGCACACACTGTAAAACTCATTTCCTTCTTTCAGAGCGAGCGATGACCCTGAGAAGACAAACACTACTTACGCTGAGGACTCTCAGCCCACACAAGGTCAGAGCTGCGTATTTCTTAAGTTCATCTGCACGTGTACTCCGGCCCGCTGCCATCGCTAACTCCATTATTTCTCTCCCTTGGTGTGTCCTTGTCATCATTGTCACTCAGAAATCACCATTCGTCTGGATGAATCAGACGCTCTCTCAGCATCCAGCTGTCACGATGGAGAGTCGGAGCGATTTGTCTCCACCGGGTCGACCGGCCGCAGAGTCTCCTTCAATGAATCTGCACTTTACGAGCAGGAGAAGACGACTCAGGACAAAGGACGCAGGTATAGTTTAGCAAAGGTTAATCTGCACATTATCACTTTGACAGGCCGTTGGATGGAATTAGACCAAAGATGATTATTCTTACTCCCAGGTACACCCTGACTGAAGGAGACTTCCACCACCTGAAAAAGGCCCGGCTGACCCACCTCCACCTGCCTCCAGCCCCCTGCGACCTGAAGATCCTCACCATCATGGAGTGTGACTCAACAGAGAGCAGCACCATCAACATCAGTGAGGCTGCAGCTCCTAAACTGCCCCTCACCATCTACCAGGTAACTCACAAGAATGACATTCAATTCAGGTTTAGTCACTGCAGCAGAATGATGTCACTAGACTCACACGCAAAATGATTTTCTCATGACTAACCACCATTTGTTTCTCTCTGCAGCCCACTGAGAGAAGAGTCCCAGACTGGATGGGTCAGAGCCTCAGCGGAGGTCTGCCGGGAGACCAGCACCACTCCATCATCCTGGACCAGGGACCCATGCAGCCCTCATCTGCCATGAAACCGCAGCACACACGGTCCCAGACAGTGAGTCTTTACACATTCTGTGTTGAAAATCACCCCAAAAATGGTTCGTAAATAATACTGGTCAATAATACAAAGTGATGTCAGTTTGTCAGTCAGTACATGACTTTGGTGCTGACTGAAATATTTACTGGATGGGTTCCCATGAAATGTTCTAACTTTTACATGAACCCTCTGAACCCAAAGCAGTTTCTGGGCATTTTTATCTCCTGTCATGGATTTCTCTGCAGTGAAAAGTCCTGCAGCCTCTGTGGAAACTGCACAGCCACGGCTAGAAGAACTCAAAAGTGTCTTATGTGTTGTATGACATGGCTTTAATGACATAAATGATAAAAACTGGAAAAATAACACTTACAGTTGTTTTGTTGTCTACAAATTTGAAAATGACAGGAATTAACATGAACAACCTTTTATAGGTCCTGGCAGGTTTTTTCCAAACCTGGAAAAAGTAGTGACTCAACATACTGTTAATATCTTGGTACTTACATTTTTAATTAGTTTCCATACTTGTGTGTTGTCTACTCTGTGTAAACACAGCCTGTAATTCAACCCAGTTCACCTGAAAGCTTTCAGAATTTTGACTTTTGGTTACAGTGAAGTCAGTCGTGGCTTCTCAGTTGTTCCGAGGAACATTATCATTATTATTTTACAGAAC